AACAGTAATAAATTCGATATACAAAGAAAGAATGTTATATTGAAATACAAAAAAGTAAAACAAAAATGCAACTTAACATAAAAATAAAATAATGAGTAAATCTTGCGTAATGTGCCTCTGAAGGGCCGCCTTCCAAACAGACACTAATTACAAAGTCGTCAACAGCATTTTCAAGCAAAGCATCCGTATCCCAATATTCTTTTGATATTTTATTAGTATGAGTGGCAGCTTTTTATCAATTACTTCTGATGTCATTATTTTTAAATTAGAACGTGACAGTTGATACGTTTCTTCGCTCACCTTCATTTTCACTAATACAAAATGTAATTATATTATAGATAAAGCGTCATACCTGCCCACGGAGTGTCACATCTCAACGAGAACACACATTTCCCATAGCGACGCCCACAAACAACTCGCCTCACGCTCCTCGCGACTTTTGTTTGCGAAACCGACAGTACAGACTCTTGTTTACACTGTTCCACGACGCGCCGCTATCACCTCTTTCATTATTTATTCATTCGTTTGGTGGAGTTATAATATTTGTAAAGCTGTAGTTGAAATACTATAACATTGGCGTAAATCTTCCGTAACAGTAATTAAAATACTATTATTTTATTAACCCATAAATGGCTAAGTTTTTTAAAATGAAATTTTGCTTTAATATTTTCATACGTTAATATTATGAGGTTCATGGAGCTGGACATTCCTGCTTGCCGACAGCGCTATCTAACGTTTATTTTTGAAACAACGTTCTGTACATCGAACTATGAAAATTAAATTTATTTTATTGGAGAGCCTATAAAATACTTTAACATCCATTGAGAGCTAAATAGTATTAGTAGTTCAGAGGAAAAAGACTTCCGTGATTCTTGTCCATGAAACTGAATTGACATTAACGTAATGCTCTTTTCAAGTTTCGTTAATACAAAATGCGTTGTTATAAGAGGAGTTTCGAAAGAGCGAAGGAATGGTTCAGTGTCAAAGTGCTATTTTAACACTCGTTAAGCGTCGGGTGCAATTCCCAGTCCTCGTAGATATTTTATCCATTCTACTGTGCTTTAATAGCCACCAAATTACAACATCCTACATTTGTATTGACAATTTTATGCATCAAGGGCATTTTTTGACTTCTCTCACGTTGTTAATATTTACATTAAGAGGCGATTTGTTCACATTATTATATTTGAGTACTTTGTAGTCGAATGGCTAGTTGTTATATCAAAACAGTGATTTCTAAAACTTTTTTATTTCCACAAGCCAACAAGAGATTCACTAATACAAGCCAGGTCGAACAATACTCCAGGAGATATACCGGGGACGTTGCGATGTTCACGGATTCGCTGCAGGAAAAGACCGAGTTTGTAGCCGTGCTGTAATACGCTTTACTTGACAATAAACACACTCCAGGCCGGCGCTTCACACACTGGCTACCCCTCGCCGGGCACCGCACTTAATATAGCACTTAGTATAGCCCGCCCGGGCTGAAGGTCCGCCGACCAGCTGCCCGATAAGGGTGGTTTCTCTGGTTCCGGGGCTTGGCCGAGCGTGACGGTGCTGCGGCGTTAGTAATCGGCACCCTCTCTTGAGCGGCGCCGGAACCACTTTCCGGCGGCAACTTCAAAGGTGCGCGTTCGACCATATCACTAGTGGAATGGGAATCCTTCACAATATGTATTTGTTCATGGTATTGCTACAAATTATTTTCGGAGAGCGTGGAGGGATATACTGTAGCAATAACGCGCTGCTTCACCATAAATAAAAATTGTGAAATTGGTAATATTTTCGGCGAATATCACTAACGCTTTCGTCACGATTCGGAAACATGCTCTACGCTATCACACACGTGTTGCATCAAGTTCTGCAGCCATTTTAATACTTTTATGACAAAAGAATAACTGACAATGTATCTTTACACGATGAGTTTGGTGATGGGTCGAGGCATGTGGCTACTATGAATAACCTACAAAAAATATTTTCCCGGTGCTTTGATATTAATGCTCTGGGTTTCTAAGAAACATTGTTCAGGGCATGATACGCGAATAAAGTTTCCGTAATACTACTGTAATCTCATCAATGTTTCAACCTTTATTCGGTCTTTCATCAGAGCGTCAAGTGAAAACAACCACATAAAACATTCTACAAGTGCTAAACCCAGGGCCGGGTTTACTAACATGCAAAATAATTAACGTGTATAATTATGAGGATTAGCATTTTACGGCCGTATCCCTTGATAAGACAAGATTGTTACGCCTTA